ATAGTCCTCATAGATATTTGTATTACTCACATAACCCTCCTAAGCACTTGGTTGTGTCTCACTAACTTCAACATTGAAACTTTCAATTGCTAAAACTTGGGGAATCAACATGGGTTCATCCATATCATGATCAGCAAATAACTCAATGTCTAAAACCCAAGAAAATTTCTTAATTCGACTCAACACCCTCTGTATTGTATCATCATCTTGAACGATGAACAGTCCATTATCTAAATCTTTTCCGGGTTCCAAAACATATATGTTTTTCTGTGTCTTAAATCCCAAGTCATCCGTGTATTTCTTTGAAACATATAGTAAGAGTCAAAGTTAAATTTCAGATTGACAAAGAAACTCATCCTGTGCAAGAAAAACATGGAATAAATAATATTACATGTGATGGAAGTAATAGAATAACATTACACTTGAATGGCATCTGAAATATGAGAGCCATCAAATACCAAAAAACTTGTAAAAGACAACAAATAACATTCAAGTGATAGGGATAGTCTTCTTCTCGTTAGTTAGACATAACCTTCTTCTTCTTTACATAATAATTTTACTAGGCAAGAAGATATTCATTACCTTCCCAGCAGCTTCACAACGCTCTTCTAAGCCGGAATACTAAGATATCTTCTCATCTTCCTTGTATATCTACGGACTTGAAATACGTACTCTTGTGGCCTGCTCATCGACTTCTTTGCTCCAGTTTTGAAATTTTGGCAGAAGGAATGGGAATAATAGGGTTAAGTCCTTTTCGTTGATTGTTTTCTTAAAACTAACGGGCTGCAGCTTTTAACCCCGTTAACTTAGCAGGATGTCCAGAATGACCCTAAAAGTTGAAATATGGGTTTGTATGATCTATTTAAAAAGGTTGGTGTCCATTTTGAGCTCTTTAAATAATCTTAGTGTCCATTTTGGTCTTTCTCCCGTCAAAGAATAATAAAAGGAAAATCATTTGCTTGTACTACTGGACTTCTAGGGTTCTCCCACTATAGATAGTGAAAATCTCATGAATTATAATCGTTGTTCTAAGAGTTGTCTAATGTGGACTTCTAGTGTTCTCCCACTATTAGAACAACTTGCTTCTAGAGGATAGAAGTGTCTCATGTGCTCTAATTAAGGGCTTCTATGTGGGTTGCAAGTAGTTACTGAGGAGTTCACCAAGAATCGTGTTATCAAGAACTACACAATTCTAGGAATCCAGGGTGATGAAACTTTAATATCATATACTCCGTATCTGTAAAAACATGCCATGAGGACTCTTGAAGACTATTGTAAGTCTTCATTAAATGATAAAGAATGCATTAGGACTTCTATGATTTACTCAACGTAAAGATAGAGTAAACTTATATCGATGGCATTTAATAAAGAAAGCATGCAGTTGTTTTTTACTTTTACCTCAATGAATTTCCATGTTTATAGCGAACATCTTTACAATTTGAACCAAACCTAACTTAAAATAAAGCTACTTTGCTTAAATTTTAAGAACATTTTGTGAAAAAAGTAATGAACGGTTTTTCAGCAGATTATAATGATATAGGAAATATTAGTTTATTTTTAGTATCAACCCTTTCCTAAACAAAGTGCTGTTGAGGTTACACGAAAAAAGATTAAATAATAAATAGAAATACTGAAATACAAAGAGAAAGTTTCTCATAAAAAAACATTTGTCACTTGCCAATAATATCATACAGTTAACCCAATTTGAATAGTGTTGAGTTAAAATAACAGGTCAAACAATTGAAAAGGACTCATTACTATTTACTATACGCAAAGATTTGTCTTTAAAAATTGAAAAAGTTACAAGTAAATGTGCTAAACTAGCGAACAGTTTGTTGTTCAACAAAGAGGAAATGCACGGCCTGCCATAGTTAGGAAATGTGATAAAGTTGAAAATGTTGTGTGTAAATGTGATAAACTGTGTAACGTGTGTGCATTTTTTAACCATTGTTTAACCATTGTTTTTTGCAAAAACCATCAACATTGTAATCTATTGTGCTCAATTCAGGTCTTATAATGAGTTGCAGCTTCCACATTAATGAGAGGCTGACATGGGGTACTAAACACATGATTTGAAATGAATGAAATTTCCAGCATCTACTTGCACTAGAATTTTAGATGTTAAAAAATTGAAATAATATACAATGATACAATTGAGGTCTTGTATTCACAAAACAAAGCAATCCCTCTAGAGTCTACACTTTCAAATGAAAAGAAGAACAGCAATGCTTGATGTACACACATTTTGTACACATATGGTGCACACCCCTGTTAGTTGCCTGTCTACAACTCTATAAGGCAACTTCAGAACGAATTGTGTGTGTGTACAAACAACTAGGGGGTTGTACACCATATGTGTCAAAAAGTGTGTACCAGCAGCATTTTGCAAAGAAGAAAGCTTCTTGCAAATGGAACCACCAGGGCAACTAGCGAGGCCAATAGAATGAAAAAAAAAAGGAAAAGCTGATCAGTTATGCAGAAATTCTCTACAATAAAGGCATATACTCTCTGTTAATATCATTGACAGAGAAGCAACTAAAATATGCAAGAAAAGTGCTATGAAATGCAGAAAATATATGCAGCAAAAACCTGTTGTTTTTTCAGAAAAGTATTTGTACATGCAAAAAAGGTTGCCTTAACTGCTAAAGAATGCGTGAAAACATTGTTGTCAATGCAGAAAAATCTGCAGCAATAACATTCTGACTTTTGTTGAAACAAATGTGCATACCATGCAAAAACAGGATGTGTAAATTTGCATATACGGCCTGCCAATCTAATGGAGAAAAAATGATAAGATATGCACTAAAATGCAATACAAAAAGAAAAAACTGCAGCCATAACCTGCTTATTTATTCAGAAAAAATCTGCCTGAAATGCAAGAAAACACCCAAACATGAAGAAATCGTCTAAAATGGGTGTATATATGATCTGCAGCTAATATTATAATACCCTTCTTTTATGTTTATTTGTTCCTTTCGTTGCATTAAGAATAAGTGTAGCGAAGGAATCAGTAGAGGATGCTACCAAGAAACACATATTGCTATTGTTGTCTATATTTAAGATGGGGAATCTTATTTATAAATTCACACAAGTAGGGAAGTGCAATACCCCCAGTTGCAATAAGTATCATAATTCACAACCCACAGTTGCAAAAGCTTCATATTTGCATGTTATTTTTTTTAGTAAAAGAACAGATACAACAACAACATCCAAGCCTTAGTCCCAAACGATATTGGGGTCGGCTAACATGAATCGATACATGATATCACCATTCACCAAAAGGAAAAGAAAGAAAATAAAGATAAAAAGGATAAGCTATTATAAAAACAATACTCCCTCCGTTCCCAAAAATACTTCCCACTTTCCTTTTTGGGCCGTTCCCAAAAATTCTTCCCACTTTCCCTTTTTGGACAATTTGTGTGGCTCACATTCATTTTACCTTTTTCTTACACAACCACAACCACATATTTCCACTTTATTCCACTTTCTTAATAAGCGTGCCAAGTCAAACGGGGAAGAATTTTTAGGAACGAAGGTAATATAAAAGAGATGAATACACATATAAAAGATAAAATAAATTTTAAAATTTGCAAGTAAATATGTTTTAGTAAGAATAAAATAGTTTACTTGCATAGGGTGAAATGCAATGACACTTAGTAGGTAGGCTATGCCGCTTCCATCCCAACTTCAATTTTTATGTTGCCATTGATATGCAAAAGAAGTCCATATAAAATGTTTTTTAATACCAAACACAGGAAAGTCAGAAAATACTTTCCTCTAAACAAATGGAGTCTGAATCACATATACTTCCTATTCTACTCATCATCCGTAAATACATTGTTTACTATAATGCATTTACATATGTATATGTACAAGAAAGGTACCTAACTGTATTGATAGTTATCTAACCGACTAACAGACTTCTAAGTTAATAGCTTAATAATAATTTACACATCTTGATAATCTGAAGTGTAACAACAGTACTTACAGAAGTGTTGGATCCTCAAGCATAGTGTTATCAATTCCAATAATCTTTACCCAGCTAAGAGTTGCATAACAAGTTCAGAAGTCACAACAGGGATGATTCCAAGCTTCATGATCGTACCCCTATTTGAAGCAAGAAAAACAAGCATCCAATAGAATGGATCTGCGGCTGTAGAGTTCACTGACTTCATTCCATACAAGAGAAGCTGATAACATGCAAGGAAGATGAAGACAAAGATCATAGTATATACTATATATTACTTTCTCTCTGAGATGGATTTTTCATGCCACAAGTCAGAACTTTGAACATGGGGCAAAAAAGAAAGAAAAAGACGGACGCGCTGGAGATAGAATTCAAAGTCCATCTCCCGTGTCTTTTCTTACAGCTGAATCTGCACTTCCAGGTTTAAAGGAGAGCATACACTATTTTAAGGCAGTAATGAGAAACAAGCAACAAATGTAATCGGAAAATGATATTTTTAGGCATGGAAAAAAAGAAATTTATGGGGTATGCACTGGAACCAAAGTAGACAAGCAAATTGACATTAAAATATTGTGCACCGGTTAGCGCAGTGTCAATGAATATCAGAAGTGTTGACAAAAATATAAAAGAAAAGGAAGCTTGCCGATTGTGATTTCGTTTGAGCAACCTTCCAGAAGCCCGTGAGATTAGGTCTGCAGATGCAAAGGAGGAGATTGGATGTAAAAATCAAACCAGAACGATATAAGGGGTAGTTCTATTCAAGAAAGAGGCTATTAAGGAGAGCGGGAATGAGAGAAGAGGGAAAGGCAAATTAGCCTGTCCAAGGATCACTTTACATTTTGAATTTTTTAAAAGGAATAGCTGACAATCTGACATGGAGTGAATGTCAAATAGGATTATGCCATATGTTGAATGTACCAAAACATCTTCTAATGTGATGGTAGGGGAGAGCTCTCCTATTAATTATTATCACGTGTAGTTAGCATGACAAAATGAGAAATATTCAGAGAAATATGACGAGCAAATAAAATGGCTAAAATCTTAAATGAGAGAGATGAACTTAATTCACGCTTCAAGCACAAAAGGGAGATAACACTGTCCAGACAAAAAGCCTCCATTACATGTCATTGCATTACACATCCAAACTGGCAAAGTAGTAAACAAACGATCCTAATACATATTCAGGAAGATCTGTTATAGATAAATAGTCTTTCTGGTCTATTTCCACCATAACTTATGGTAACAGATGAACTACTGCTTCCACCATAAATTAGAGAACAACTACACTATCAGCTCACAGAGTCTGTTATAGAACTACACATCCAAGACACAGATTTATTTACATTCATAGAGCAAATGACCACAAGGCTTTCCCATTCCATGGAGGCCAGAACGATTTCCCATTCCACGGAGGCCAGAAGGCTTTCCCAATCCACTGAGGCCAGAAGTCTTTCCGAATCCACGGACAGGAACTGCAAAAAGAAATTAGGAAGCGAAAAGAAATCAAAACTTCCCCAACAACCATTTTAATACATACATACTCGACCCCAACAACCATTTTAATACATACATACTCGAAGGTATAGCACAAAGGATCATGAACAAAAAACACTAAGGGGAGGAATCCACAAATCTGAGTGTCTAAAAAAAGTTAGCAGAAAAAAGGCCTTCATTTTTTTTTTCAATTGGGTTGAAGAATGCACCAAAATAATGTCTCTCATGACATCATTTATACTCCTTCCTGAATTGTGTGACAAACAATAGTTTGAGTGATCATATAAGTAAAAGTATAAGGAGAGGGATTACTAACCTGGTTTAAAGGGCTTGACTTGGAGCAACCTATTATCAGGATAGGAACAACGCGCTTCAAGTAGGATTGGCACTCGGGCAGCGGATGGATCAGCAGCTCGGAACACATGAACTCGGGTCTTGTAACTTTCATCCAGGTAAACTCTAGTCACCCCCAAAAACTCCAAGTTCTTGTTTTGCTCCTTGTTGTACTGTTGGGTGAACTCTCGACACTCATCAGCATAGTCATAAGGAGGACCCTCGACAGGATCATCATCATCACTGTCGGACGGGTAGTCAGAGATCGGCTTCTTCTTCTTCTTCTTTGGGAACTTGTTGTTCTTGCGGTTGATCCTTTTTATATCATTAAGAAGGGTCTTCAATTGCTTGGCTTCCCCACTGTGATAGCGTTCCTTATAACAAGGAATGGCATTTGGGTCAATGCCTCCCAGATCAATCTCATCGTCAATCTTTTGTACAAGATCATATCGGTGAAGAAGGTCACCAGCAGCCAACTTAGGGAGCTTTCTCAAATCATACAGCATGATCTCAAAATTCGGCCCTGCATCTATGTAACCTTGGACCTCGTCGGGAACGTTCCAGTCCTCATACTTATGAGCATCAGGTCCATTCTTTGCACGCCTGATGTCCATGTAAAAATTTAAAACATCAGGAGCATAGAGTCGGTAATTAGCACTCTCAGGACCATACAGAATACTAAGAGATGATGATGAAAACATCTTCGACCTAGCACATGCCGCCGCCGCCGCCGCAAGAGGCCTCCACTTCCACATAGCTTGTTTGAGAGCCATCAGGGTTTGTTTTGTTTTGTGAGTACACTTTTGATTTATGTTATCCCTGGGTTCCTTTTTATTGGTAGAATTTGACTTTGTATTTTCAAAATCGTACTCTAATTCATTATAAAATCATTTCACTTTGCACCTCATTCCTTTACAATTTTTGATTTGATGGGGTGCATGCATTAATGTTTTTTAAAATATTGTTCAAAGTCAAATATCATCCAAAACATGGGATGCAAAGTCCAATTCTCCCCTTTTTAATTTTCCATCTTTGATTTTTTCGGTCAAACATGTTCAACTTTGACCAATTATATATTTTTTATAAGTAATTAATTATAATACGAAAATTATATCAAATTGTTCTTTGTTAAAAGGGAAATTATCATTGACCTCCCTCGAGGTTTCGCGTATTATCACCTAGACTCCTGCACTATTAAAAATATACACTTACCCCCTCTTTATCCTTTAATGAAAGTTTAGTAAGTCTTAATTGCGTTTAGCAAAAGTATAAATTTAATTTTATAAATTTTCTCACTTGCAAATTTAATATGATAATTAATAAATTTATATGTATTAAGAACCTTTCCACCATACTTTTTTTTTGCAAGCACACATACTTTCTAATGAAATAATCCTTATTATTGACAAATTTATTAGGTACATAATTACATCGACATGTGAGAAAAATTATAGGGAAGTAATAGACACAATCAAAAGGTACGACTTAAAACAATAAATCTCTGTTACTTTTAAAAGTTCGGAAATATATCTGAGATTGTAGAAATCTTGATGAAACTTTTCTAACGAGGAAAATACACGGGAATATAATGACCGATTTTTGAATTAAGATTTTAGGTTGGGACCGAGACCAGACCGGTATAAAAGAGGCCTCAGGCCTCACTTTTTGGGACCGGGATTGGCGCCCATGTTTTAACTCCGTTCATTTTTTCATTAAAACCATTGAGAACATTTTAAAATGAGTTATAGTCCATTTAAATGTTAAAAAATAGGTAGTTAAAAATATTTAAATTATTAATTAGAAGCGAACCTAAATCAATTAGGAGATTGGAACCGAAGATAAGGTCATGGGCCGCCCTAATTATTTAGCACTCATTAGTTTGGGTGTGGACCCCATCATAAACTATAATTTCTTTACCAATAATTTACATGCAGACACGATCATATTTTGTCAAATATTAATTTACAAGTTATTACTATACCTATAATGATCTCACTTTCAGAGATAACAAAGTGTCTAGAGTGCATATTGGGAATTTCTTGCATTCAATTTTTAATTGAGTAGTAAATATCACTTTTGAGTCAATTTGGTTCATTTAAGTTGATTTCTTTCAACTTTTGACAAATTTAGCATATTTTGATCATTTTCAATTGAGTAAAGTTAGTCACTTTACAAATTCAAAGGCATAAATGAACTACCTAGAGTGAGGTCAGTTTTAGTCATTTTTTTATTTTATTTTGTTCAACTTCCGATAAAAAGGTTTTTAATATGGATAAATTTATTAATTACCCGATCAGATTTGTGATTGAATACAATTATAGTATTAAAAGCGGACATAACGAAAAATTATATAATTATACCTATAATTTTCTCTAAATATAGATTAGAAGTTATTTAACCATCATTAAAGATAGGGAGGGGGTAAGAGTATATTTTTGATAGTATAGAGGTGTGATTGATAATACATCAAACCTCAAGGGAGGTCAATGACAATTTCCCTTGTTAAAAGTACTTTCATAAAAGTATAAAACTTATCATTAACATTAACATAGTCAATGAGATTATGGAAGTAACAAGAGTTCAATTTGGACGCACGCAGCATGCTTTAGAGGAGAAGGCAAACATGCATGCTTTAGATCTGATCAATTTAAGCCAATCTGTCATTAGCTTTCTCCCATTAATTTCATCTTCTCGGCCTGTGTATCTCAATCCAGTGATCCAACTATCCGATAGTGAAATCAACACTTAGAGATTGCTAATAGAGGTATGATCTAATTGGATTGTTATTCTCTTCTGTTTGTGTTGATTTTGTTCAATGGCGGTTCTTTCCCGGGCACTGGTGCTCCGGGGTGTTTTGTCTCTCTCGATGTGGGGAGTTATGTTCGTGTTCTGGCAAGTTGCGTGTGGTCAGAGGATTCCGTCTGCTTTCTTCTAGAGTGCATAAACATTGGTAGAGCTCGTCCTCGTCCAGAACCACCTCCGTACCATGAAGAATTTTGTAGTCTCCCAAACCCGCCGAGAGGGCTGATGATTTCTGCAGAAAAGGGAGGATGTTGGAGCTTGTTCGTGGTGATCAAGATTCTGCATAATTTACACATTTTTATTTATTTCATTTGGTTGTTGGTTTCCAAGAACATGGTTGTTTCCGTTTCTGTTGCTTTTTCCTTGCGAACTCTTACATTAGGTGGGGATGATGAGGATTCTGCTTTGGCCATGATAGGCTCGTGTAGACCCGTTGTATATAGGATCAGCGAATCATATTGCTCTGTCTAGGGTGATTGGTTCTCCGACTGGTTCGAGGGTTGATGACTGGGAGTGGTTTCTTTATCTCTGTTATGTCTCGCTGAATGTTCTTTTATCAATATAAGCCGTCTTTTTCCCAAAAAAAAATACAAAACTTATCACTTTCATAATAGTATACTAATCAAAATCATGGTCCAAACTTTACCACCATTGACTTGAAAAGTCAAAGATGACAAAATATTTAGGGACAAAGGTAGTATTTTATCCGGCATATTTGCATCAGGATAGGAAGAGCTTTAATGGGTGGACATGCATATTAAATGTGCCGTGCGAAAATATTTTCTCCAGAGCATGCCACGGGAAAGTTATACGAATGAGAAGCTTACCGTGAACGAATGAGAAGGCTTTCCCAACGAATGCAGTTTTGGCGGGAACTTCTCCCCCAAGAAACTTTTTGTTATTATATACTAAGATAGATTATTAATGCAATTAAGGAAGAGGGTTACTCAATTTGATTTGACATATTGTAATGATGGGTTTTGAAAACTGTCACAACGGTTGAGACCGTCGTCGGACTAAAGACTCACTAACGGAAAAAATGCCCATAGGAGCATTAATTAACTCTCCCATAAATTGGCTTGAACCCTATTGTAATCAAATTGATTTCCTACCTGGTCCATCTTATTTCTGTTTTCTTTCGTCATTTTAATTAATTTATTTTAATTAATTTACTTTATTTTCTGAAACACACCCAACACGAATCTCGATCTATACATATTTTTATTTTAATTAATTAGTTTTAGCTTACAAAAACTTGCATAAACAATTTGGCGCCGTCTATGGAAAATCGTGCAAGAAATTCGTTCTTAATGGAGGGAACAATAACAACATGATGGTGGAATTTCACAAACATTTGGAGACTGTGAAGAAGAAATGAGGCGTGAAATGACACAAAAGATCTCGTGCATCCAGGGAGAAAATAATGTTCTATGATCTCAAGTGTAGCCGATTCGATGGCCTCCATAGCTTCAAATTCAAGGATTAATAGGAAGAGTGACGAGATGACGTCCGTGACAAGACTGGAACTCATACTCCGTCTCTACCACAACGGAACAACCCACCAACGTCATTGAACCCATATTTGGGCATAGGTTTGTCATCTTTCAATCGGCCAAAATTGTTGGAAATATGATAATAATGATAATAATATTAATTGTTAGTGGTCTCGTTTTTTGGGCCCTGAGATATATGTGTAACATATTTTTATGTAATGGGAGTGACTTATTATCAAAGTACGACTTTTATACTTGGATTTATTTCATTCATTGATTGGAATCCATAGTTGTAAAAGTTGTAAAGTGAAATTTTGAAATAGTGAATTGCTGTCTGTAAATAGATAGATGGTCTATTAATAACAAATTATGTGATAAGGAAAATCATTCAAGTATCACATAAGATAGCTTGAAATATTATTCCGTACGCTCAGGCCCGCTCGGGATGATCTAAAAGTGTATGAGAAAATGTCTCAAGCTAAAGGCCATTTAATTTATGGACAACAATTTTGAAATGCTTTATTATCTTAATAGATAATAAAACGGTGGCTATTAAACTGAATTGGAACGTTTCAAATACTTGAATTTGAATGGTCAAGTGGATAGTGAACAAGCCTGGTCAATGATTATTCAAGAATCATTAAAATGATATTATGGAATAACCGTTACTTACTTCCATTCAAATGAATATGTTCTGAATTTGATTTCCATGCATCATACGAAGTACATATTATGCTACTCAATCTCCCATAGAAGATAGACGTGCAAAAGCACAAGGGAAAGAAAGCACTCACTTCTCGATTTCTTTGTCTTCCAAAAACGAATTTGTAAAAGAAGAGGAGCACTAATTAACTCCTTTCTTTTCTCTTCTCGTTTGTTTCTTGGAGTGTTTACTGTTTCTTGTCAAAAACTGAAGTTCTATTCGGATAGTTTTTACTCCATTTTGTCAAGCTCATCTCTTCCAAGGCATTTCGGGCAACGGTCGAAGGTTTCAGTCAAGGTAGCTACAAGTCTGAAACAGAGTAGGATTATCCTGGGAGCGAGCTAGCCAGACCCGTCCGAATAGCTATCGGGATACGGGGGCTATCTTTCTTCAAGGCCAGTCCGTTTTAACGGGCGATCCTGCGATAAGTTTTCTTATCTTTTCTATTTAATCATTTTTATTTATTCTAACTATTACTATTATTGTTGTTATTTTCTGTTCTTGCATTTGGTGGTTTGTCTGGTGATTTGTTTAAACTCGGGATTTTTATCTGGTTAAACTCGCATTTTTAATACTCCCTCCGTCCCGTTGGAATGTTCCCACTTTCCTTTTTTGGATGTCCCAGTGGAAAGTTCTCATTTCCCTAAATGGAAAGTTATCCTACATCAAAACAGTGTCAAACAGTGCAAAACAGTGTCAAACAGTGTCAAACAGTGTCAAACAGTGTCCAAACAGTGTCCAAACAGTAAAATTTACCCCCTGGTAAGTTTATTTCCTTAATATGTGTGTAGGTCAAACCGGGAACATTCCAACGGGA